GTATCGTATGGAGAAACAGCGCGCAGCCGTCTTATTAAAGGCATCGTTAAAATGCCGACGCTGGAAGCTTGCAGTTGGCGGGTCCTACCTCAGGCTTAGCAGTGGCGTTTCCTCATTCTACATGCTACCATAAATTGATTTATAGGTGACAGTAGATCTGCGTTGTCATACGTCATCTAATGAAATCGTGGCCAAGTCAAATCAACACGTGCTTCCTTCATAGGGACTTTACAGCAATAGGGGCATTTCTCACTGCCGTGTAATATGTGACGTATTGTGCACAGACATCGTATTCTGTGACTAACAGTAAGATGACAGGTAAGAACTGGGTATGCTCAGTGTTTCCCACAATTTGCCATGACGCATTAACAAGTCTTTACAAACACATTCGGTTTCTGTATTCACCTTAGTCCACAACATGGTTGCACGCAGCCTCTTGCACCTGGAAGAGCAGAAGTTCCCCAGTGACAATAACAGCATTGTGGCTTCATGGTGGTGGAGATGAGAGTTGATAGAGTTGTTTTCAAATTTTTTTAAATCTCCTTTTATTTACTGAAATTTACTTGGCTTGTTTTCTCCCTAAGTCCTGGCTTAATTTAACCTGGACTTCAGTTGAGGGAAAACACTCTTTTTACTAGGGTTTATGAAAGTTAGTGGATTTAAAAATGCTGAAGCATATAGTATTGTGATTAAACTGTGCTCAGGAAATGATGAATATAAATGTATAAAGATGTGAATGTAAGTAACATGAATTGATAGATAAGCAGGGATGGTTTTTTTTCCTTTAATGGTTACAGTTGTAGGCTAGTTTATCAATTAATTTCATATTCATATTTTATTCTGTGTTTAATAGAGCAAAGGAAAAAGCCAGCCTTCTCAAGGTATTTTTTGTGTGTAACTGCTGCTGTGTGGTATCTCTGGGATGACCGCATGTTTTTCAGAATTGCAGCTGGAGGATGCGAGGTCCCAGGCAGGGCTGGGCCTGGGAAGGGGCAGGGGCAGGGGCTGTGGTGGAGGGAACAGCAGCAGTAACTGGGCTGGTTATGGTTCACATCCCTCAAGAAATTCCTTTTTCAAACAAACGGCTTGGAAATCTTGCTGTGTCTCTGCCTTCAGGCTGGTGGCCTGATCCTCAGGGGTACGGAAACGAGCTCTGGCTTTCTGAAGAAGCTGGTGTGGGCTTAATGCTTAATGCCCCCACCGCCCCTTCCCTGGCATTCGTAGCTCCTCAGTTGTCCCCACAGGTCCCGAGAGGCGCAGGGGGAGCGAGCCCCCGTGTCCTACCCGGCGTGGCTTTGCTGTGGCGAGCGAGCTGAGGTCAGTGGTACCCAGCCCAACGCCCTCTGTGGAGCACGGCCCCCGCTGCCGTGCTTACGCCAGAGGAGCTGAGAGGCAGAAGCAACGCATCGCTGCCAGAGAAGGAGTGAGGCCGTTCCCCGGGCACCCTTGCAGCATCATGACTCTCCAGGTAAGCAGTTCTGCATCTGGTGAGACTGAGACGCAAGGAGAGGAGAGGGAGGGATGCACTGTCCATCTGTGCAATGGCATGTTGGAGACAGCGCTATTTGTTCAGCATAAGGATTATTACTGCAAAATCAAGGTTACCTTGTGGCACGGGAAATTTGCCTAAGCCTTTGGAGATTAAATAATGCATTACTTTTCACAAGTGGAGCATGAGAGACATACTGTTTATTTTGAACTATTCATGTAATTTTTTGGAGCCTTACCTGTTTAGAGCACGCGTGATTATTTTTCTTTGTGTGTGCATCTGAGTTTGCTAGGACTGCATTATGCATTGAAAGGTAGGTGCGTAATTATTTTTTTAGGATCTAGCTAGTTACTTGGAGCTGTAAAAGGAAGAGGGAAAGTTCTAACACTGAAGCAGTGGTATATGTGCATTTAGGAAGCATGAATAATTTTTAAGAGAGTTGTGCATATCTTTTTAGTGGTACATTTTGATGGGCTTGTGTTTTGGTAGGAAAGCTGCTACTTTCTACCTTCTGGCTAGAGGGAGCTTCCTTCTATCTTCTCTCTGAGTATAGATTTAAATAGTTCTTGAGGAAATTATCTTCGCTGCTGGCTTTTAGCCTCCTACCTTTGTAGCAAACTATGAATACTTCCCTTGTCTTGCCCATGCCCTGATGGATTAGGCTGTTTTCTTCATGAGGCTTTCTGTTATCCTTTTCACTTCAAGATTTGCAAGCCCTTTTATCCCAGCCTCATTATCATGTTTGTCTCAGCTTGGTTAGTGTGCATGTTTTGCAAAGAGTGAGCAACATAATGCTCTGACCTAGATGCAGGGAATGTATTGCGAGTAGCTCAGCAATTTTTTTCTGAGCTGCAATTATGTCGAATGGCACAGAGGGTTCATTGTGTGAGCTAAGAGGAAGAATCCTGTTTCTTCAGTGGGTCAGAATTGCCAAATCTCAAACATAACACCTCCTTTGTTTAATTTTTGATCACTGAAATTATAGTTTGTTTTATTCTGCCTTGAATTCACTCTAGTAAATAAATGTATTAGCCTGATGATGACGCAATGAGCCATAAATCACTGTTAGAAAGAGCTGAGTGCAGTATGCTATGCCATTCCATTGCTGTGTACAGTTACACGTTCACATAAAAATCAGTGGTTGAAATATTACAATATCCTACACATTCTGCATTAGACATTATAGAGGTTTTCTCTCCACTATCACTTTGGTTGACAGCTACCATCCATATCCATAAAAGTTCATTCAATCAAGCTGTATGGGAATGAGGACAAAATGAATAAAATCATGTTTTCGTCAGGGAGGCTGATTTATAAGTTTTGCAAACTGGTAAAATATTCTGCTGTAAATTAAGAATTCATTCAAGCTTTTTTCTTTGCAAAAAGGGAGTATGTGATAATAGTCTGATGATTTGTGCATTTATCTTTAATGCATGTGTGTATGTTTATGTCCATATATATACTTATGCTTTTAACTTGAGGAGTTACAGGGAATTTTATTGGCACATGATTAAAATATATTTTTATAGGCAGCTCCTAAGCATGTTGTGTAAGCAAGCAAATCCTAAGCAACAGTCTGTGCACAATGATTGGCTAGAGGGAGATGAAGAAAGAAATGTTTAGTATTTAAATTTAATTTCTGCGTGTTTCTTGCTATGTAAGATATGCATTTGCATATTTTTAAAACAGTATCTTGTGATACTTGCCTATAGATCCAAATAGAATAAAAGTTTGTGAAGATAAGAAGCTTATTAACTTAATAGTTTCCTTTCTTAATTTATTTTTTTGAGTTATCTTTTGTCTTGTACAAGTCTAACAACGCTTCTAGTTCATTCTTACTGTGAAGTTTAGATCAGAAAACAATTCAAGGCATGTGGAAGATTTCCACTGACTTGAATGGTCCTTGTATGTCCATGCAGTAGTGGCCACAGTATAAAGATGAAGATAAAACTTAGTTAAACTTTAATCAATTGTGGCAACTCAGTTATGTTTTATTATTGATACCACTTCTTAATCTTACTGTTAACAGAGCATGAATGCTGCTTTTGTTTGTACGTATGTGGATAATGTTAAGACATGTTTGTGATGTAGGAGTCAGTGATAGGTATAGTCAAGAATGTCACATTACTGGTGTTTGGATGAAGACTGAAATATTTATTTTAATAAAATTTTGCCTATAAAAGAAATCTTAAGAGTGGTGGGCCATCACATTTATTTTTGTAAGCAAACGTACATCCCTTTTGTACATCTATACCAACTGTAAGTGTAAATGCCTTGCTTTTAGGAGTGTCAAAGATGTACAGTTCCATTTTTTTTCACATGCTGTTTTTAATTCAGTGATACATTAGTTGCATTGCTGATTTTTGTTTCCCCTTGTTCAATGCTTCTCCATAATAAATGCTATACATCTATTAAAAATCACAGAGTCACAGAATGGTTGGGGTTGGAAGGGACCTCTGGAGATCACCTAGTCCAACCCCCCTGCCGAAGCAGGTTCACTTACAGCAGGTGGCACAGGATCAGGTCCAGGCAGGTTTTGTATATCTCCAGAGGAGGAGACTCCACAGCCTCTCTGGGCACCCTGTTCCAGTGCTCTGCCACCCTCAAAGTAGAGAAGTTCTTCCTCATATTCAGATGGAACTTCCTATGTTTCAGTTTGTGCCTGTTGCCCCTTAACCTGTCACTGGGCACCACTGAAAAGGGTCCGGCCCCATCCACACTCAAGGTATTTATAAGTAGTGGTGAGATCCCCTCTCAGTCTTGTCTTCTCCAGGATCAACAGACACA